GAGTTAAAAATCTTCGTTTGTGTTCTACTGAAGAAACAAAGTCACCTACATCTTGGATGCCCTGGGGGTAAGCAGAAAAACATCACATTTTCATTTTTTGGGTGATCTATCCCTTTAAGAACACTTCTTTTTCAGAAGGGTAGTCACATCTGAAGTCAAACTAACAAATCTTGATAATGCGATTGTATGTTGGACCTGCATTTCTTCCTTCAAATATTTGATTACACAGATGAGATGAAGACTGTGCATGGACTTTGCACAAAACCTGCTGTAGCTTGATAATAACTGCACATGGGTCAAAGATAAAAAGGGTTTAAGCATGAAAACAATAAGTGTAATACTGCTTTAAATTGTTGTTGCCATTGCAATTTTGTTTTTATTTTTCTGAGCAAAAAATAAAAAACATAAATTTTTCCCTGATTTACAGAAGAGACCCACTAAAATGTCATTCAAAAATCAATTTATGACATATTAAAAGACTAATTACTTTCACCCCAAATACTAATTAGTTGTAATTTTACATTTTTAAAATTTGCCACTATCCTAGGTTTTGCCCATTTGTCAGTAAGAATTATTTACTCATTTAAAACACAATAAAATTTAATATGCTCCCTTATTCTTTTATATATTTTAATATGTACACATCAGAATAAGCATGTTGTTTGAATTTTTACATAAATATTGTGTAATACTGAATGAAAATGTAACATTATTTAAGGATGCACCGAATGTTCGGCAACCGAAATTATTCGGCCGAAAATAGCAAAAAAAGCTCTTTCGGTGTTCTTCAGAATAAGCGAAAAGACCGAATAAATTGTACCGAACAATGATATGACGCGATCAAATGGCAACCAGCGAAGAGTGAGAAGCGCGCACTCTTTAATGCAGTACACGTCAGCAGTGTGGAAGCATTTAAACTGTCGGAGAAAGACGCAAAAATCATTACAAGCACCGAAAGCGGGATAGGACTGCATCGCATGACTTCAATGAGAAGAGGACGGGGTGATTGTTGCTGGTTTACTGTATGATGATTGAAATCGCGAAATGGCCTTAAACAATTAGTAAATAAACTGCAAAACGTTATGTTTTCTAATACACGCACACATTGCATTTATTCTGACGGCGCTGCACGAACTCGCAGGAGATCTTCTTGTTAACCAGGGTTCAAAGTCCAAAGCGCGAGGGAAAATCTGTCGTCAGTCGTCAGTTGCTCAGTCACATTTTAATGAATTTTTATAAGGCATGTGACAGTGCGATACGTACGACGTATTCGTAATGAAACTTATTTATAAATCTGTTGTTGTCAATAAAAAGGAAGCATTGAAGTCTTCCTGCGCGTTTCCGCCAAAATAAAAGTTGAGAAAAAGCAAGAACTCTATCAACACTTTCTATGGACATAAAATCACTTTTGTAAATTTCTTTTGATGCCGTCATCTTAACGCCTTTTACCCACATATAAACGCACTTTCTGGAATGCACCACCTTGTTTTAATCTGCACTTGTGCAGTATTAAAATCAAGTCAAGTCAAGTCTGCTTTATTGTCAATTCTTCCACATGTACAAACTTATTTATAAATCTGTTGTTGTCAATAAAAAGGAAGCATTGAAGTCTTCCTGCGCGTTTCCGCCAAAATAAAAGTTGAGAAAAAGCAAGAACTCTATCAACATTCATAAATGTTAGTATTTTTGTTCGTTTCGGCTTCGGCCAAGAATTTTCATTTCGGTGGATCCCTAACATTATTTCAACCAAATTTTGAAATGTTATCCTCCAAAAACTTATTTGAAACCTTAAAAGTAGACACTTTACACATTGCAACACATTGCAAATGTGTTGCAATGTAGGCTGTTGTATTGGTAGAAGTATAATGCATCTGTGTTGATTCACATTTTCAAGCACACTTCTAGTTGCAAACTGCAAAAATCAGTTGCAAAATTCTTTAGACCCAAATACACCAGCTATATGTCTCACTTTTGTGCATGTAAAACTTACTGTTTTCAGTAGATGAGATTAAATCACAGCAGCCTACATGGAGCCTATACTACACACTATGGCTCTGTCTATCCAAATCTTGCAGTTTTCCTGTGAGGGTTTTCTTTTAAAAAAAAAGGAAGATGTGGTTGGAAAAAACTGTGCAGAGAGACATCGTCCTTTATGAGACCTGTATGTTTGAATGAATATGCCAATGTATTCTAGAGTTCTGCAATTATGTATGCAGGGCTGCTGTGCCCATTTCCTGGAATACAGCACACAGAGCCGTGAAAGAGACCTGTGTTTGCTGTGAGAAGACAAAGCCCAGGCACTAATCAACATATGTTTAGAACTACGACCCCTTCTAGGAACGTCCTAGAATGCCAGGGGTGCAGCGCTGGTTTGAGAGAGCGCGTGTGTGGAGCAAAGGGAGGGGGGCGTACAAGGAGCGTGTTTGTCTCTACACTGTAAAAAAAATTCTGTAAAATTTACGGTAAAAAACCGGCAGCTGTGGTTGCCGGAATTTTACCGTAAAAAATACGGTAGCAACGTTTTTGGTTTTACGGTTTTAACTTAAATTTACAGTTAAATACCGTAATTTCATTAACTGATATAATGTTAATATACCAACCTATTGAAGTACTGAAATCTGTTTTGTACCTTTGTAATACACTGATAACCACCAAATGCAGGTGGTGATGAGAAAGTCACATGATGAACCAAAGCCCATCACAAGCAGCTTTTAAATAATAACATATATAGAAGGTGCACAGTGTTACAGTCTTTTACCGTTAAATTCATGGTCATTTTTTACAGTGTAGAAAGAACCAAACCTTTCACTGCCTCCAGTGTTTCCTGCGTTTCTGCGGTTGCTTTGATAGTCACCTCTCTGTGGGTGTGCTGATATAAAAATTTACTTGGTGCTGCTAAGTGGTTCTTAAAATGACCTTTTGGAGGATGCAGCTGTATGAAAGACTTGCGTTGAGCAAATCTCCTGACATGAGCACGGTCAAAACGGTTTATGCTGTGAAGCTATTAAAGTAAAGGAATCACCTTCATGTTGTTCCAAACCAGTATGGCTTTTTCATTTTTCTGTTCAACACAAAAGATCATATTTTTAAAAATGTCCTTACAATGAAACTTAGTGGGATCCAGTGTTTTGGACCCCAATGTTGAAAAGCATTTTTCAAAATCACGATGGAAATGTTCTCAGTTTTGTTAACCCTTTTTATTTTGTGGGTGTGTGCCCGTCTGTCCCCACGCATTTTGTTTGTAAGAACACTTGGTCCTAAAACAAGGAGGGAGAAGATAAGCCGCTGTGTTTAGCCTCAGAGGACAGACGCACCTGTTTTTAGTTGTACCGTTAGTCTGATTGATGGGCCCCCTGTACTGGGTGGTCTGGACTGATGTTGCTGGGTAGTTGTGTGTTCGGAGCTGTCAGACAGATATTTAGATTTACATGTATATTATTTATACATCTAAACTGTTATGGAGACCTGACTTTCTCAAATTATCAGGCACGATTGTAATTTAAAGGATTCGTTCACTCAAAAATAAAAATTCAGTGTACTCGCCCTTATGTCGTTCTAAACCTGTGTTTGTTTCAACTGTTTTTGTCCATAAGTGAGATTCAAAATATTACAACTTCTTACAGCACACCGGTAATTTACCAGTAAAGATTGTATGTGTGACAGGGGTTAATGTCTTTTAAAAGTATGTAGTGAGTTTGAAAGCACCTCAAGAAGCATTTGATCTCATTTATCATATAAATTGTCTATACGTGATACTGTGTATGCAGTAAATTCTGCTTCCGTTTTAATCTTGCTGCATTTTTGTTTTGTTGTAGAATTTTCTCCTTTTACTTGGCACGATAACCGATGGCAGAGAATGTCGACGACTAATAACATAGCCCAGGCAAGGAAGTTGGTGGAGCAGCTGCGGATCGAGGCAGGCTACGAACGTATTAAGGTACACAAGATTTCATTATTCTGTGTAACATGCTTTCTATAAAGCAATGCCTTTTTTTCTCTTTTTAATTAAGATGCAAGCGTAGTGGTTGTATGAGGAAAACTGTTTGAATAATCCTGTTAAATTTTATGTAAAAAAAAATGGCAGCTGTGTTTGTCAGAACATCAGAACACTTTGACGGTATTACAAGGTGCCTGTTTGTTTTACACCTTACATCCATATAGGGATACACTTTATTTTAAGGTGTCCTTGTTACAGTGTAATTATTCATTTAAGTACTGAGTAATATTAATTATTAACTACATGTACTTACTATATGGTTGGGGTTAGGATTAGGGTTTGGCTTAGGGTTACTTGCATGTAATTATTCATAATTTATTGTTATTATAATAGTAAGTACATGTAACGTGTAACAAGAACACCTTAAAATAAAGTGTTACCACATATAGTTCATTAAGTGATATAATGTAGCCATGACTATAAACTTGAACTACTAAAATCTACCTTTTACCTTAAAGGGATGGTTCACCCAAAAATGAAAATTCTGTCATTAATTACTCACCCTCATGTCGTTCCAAAGCCGTAAGACCTTCGTTCATCTTCGGAACACAAATAAAAATATTTTTGAGTAATCTGAGCGCTTTCTGACCCGCCATAGACAACTAAATGAATCTAAATGAAATGTTCCCAGACCCAGTAAGGTAGAAAGGACATCGTTAAAATTTTGGGATTTCATCAAAAATATCTTAATCTGTGTTCCGAAGATGAACAAAGGCCTTGCAGGTTTGGAACGACATGAGGGTGAGTAATTAATGATGACAGAATTTTCTGTTTTGGGTGAACTATCCCTTTAAAATGAACCACCATAATAATAACGGTGGCACAACAGAAAGCCATATGATGAATCAGAGTTCATCTTAAGTGCCCTGTCCATAATAAATCATGACTAATATTCATATATAGACTATTCACAGGGTCATACACGGTTCATCAGTTTTAACACACGTCACTAAAATAATGCAGTAAACATTAACTAAATAACAGAAAATGTAACACAAAATGCCCTGATGTACAAATTTGTTTTTGATAGTGTTTTACAGTAAAATTGTATATAATGAAATGTTAAACCATTTACAATTAACCGATTTTCTCTCTCTGTATCACCATTTCTCTCTCTTCCTCTCGCTCTGTCGTTTTCCCAGGTGTCTAAGGCTGCTGCAGACCTCATGAGTTACTGTGAGCAGCATGCCCGCAGTGACCCTCTACTGGTGGGGGTTCCCACCTCAGAGAATCCTTTCAAAGACAAGAAGCCTTGCATCATTCTATAGCTACTCTGTCTAGGCCAGCTCTCCCAGTCCCACTTTAACCGCTGCCCATCCCCAGTCAATAGGCAATTCAGTCCAACACTTCTTTTTACCTGGGACCCACAGTATTTTCCAGAAAATAAATGTCACTCTCTCTCGGTAAAAACAAAAAGGGGCAATATCTGAATACCTAGCGTCATGTAGCCCGGCGTTGAGTGAATCTATATGAATTAATCTGCACAGCACGCCTGTCTAAATTCATGCATATAGACGTACTTAACAGGAGGTGGCAGATTTCGAATTTCAACAAACTATTTCAAAAGATTACACAGAGACTGAGAGATACTCCAGCATGTTTTTCAGTGCAGCGGCTGACCTTATTACCATAGGTGATGGTGGAGAGTAGAGGAAGACAGTCATGATTATGCCGACTGACTAGCTGGCTAGCCCAGTCACACTGTGGTAAACGCTTGTTCGGTATTTACCCTGCATTGTTATGTCGAATCTGCAAGCTAAAGGTTCATTTTAGATTTGTATGGCCAAAATTGTTTTACAAAGGGATTCAAGACATTAACTAGAGTTGCCAATATTTTTACTTTTTTTTTTCTTCTCTCTCTTCTCAGTCCGTTTGTGAGCCGTAGTTTTTCTTTTCATCGATTAAAAAAACAACTCATTAGGCTTAATGCTTTGTTTTTTTTCTAGTGTTTATACTATATTTCAGAATCCTCAAACACTAAGTTATAAAGGAATAATTTTATACAATGCAGAAAATATATTTACCTAATAATATCCTTCCCAGTTCCCTCCTAAAGTGCAGTTCGATATAAAAAAATGAGCCCTATTATTTAAGGTATTTGTGGGATCAAATATATTAAATCATAATGAATATTTATGATCCTAATATAGCACAGGCTCGGACATGCCCCATAAAATTGAGTCATTTTGAAGTCGGAGCCCCTGCAAAGGCCAATTTTTTTTTTCTCTGAAACCAAACTTGATTGTAAAATCCATACAGATGGAAAAAAATGTATAAACTTTCTTTTGGATATGTTCAGAGGTGTTAACTTTGAGAATAGCTGTTTGGATTTGTTTGTTCCAATTTCTTCTTTCTATGGAAACATGGAATCTGGTCATTGAGTATGATACTGTACAGTGTTTGATAACTAAAGCGCATTCATTTTTTTGTGGATGTTTTATCTTTTTGTAATCTTTGTGTAATATTTCCGTTTCTTCCATCATTCATATTTAACCATTCAGTTTGTCCTCTTTAAGCAAGGAAGGAACTGATGGACGGCTCCAGTGCTTGTACATGTGATTAGATTACCTGCTCCCTGCGAGGGAATGTGGAATGGATTGTTGACACAATGCCCACGCAAGGTGCTTAAGGCGTTGTTCGAGGCCCGTTTCACGAGGTGGTCTGGGTTGTTTAGTCTATCTAAAGGGCAGGATGTGCAGTGTTATGCAACAGGCCCATCAGCCTGAGCAGTCACATGCAAAAGATGAGGGACAAGGTCAAACCACAACTCTGAATATCCAATGTGCACCCAGCACATGATGCACAATCTTTTGGAGTGACGGTTTTGTCTCCAAACAGTCGATCACAGTATTCAGCTAAGTGCTAAAAACAGAATTCCCCCATTGTCCCGCTTCAAATGCTGGAAAATAACAACATAGTGCAGGAAATAGGGGCTCGTAGTGGGACAGAGGGGGCCTGTGCTCCTCGCGGCCCACGGGATGCTGTCATCAGCTCCTGTATTAAGAATGACTAAGGCTTGTGGGGGTCATGAGTGCTCTGACTCATCCAGCGATCGACAAAATCACGCTGCTGCCCATCAGTGGACAAAGCTGCTCCAGCGACATCACTTCCTGTTAAGCCTGAGCAGTGTAGTGGCTTATGCATTGCAAAATAACTAGAGAAAGATGGACACTTCAGGAGATAAAGAACCGTATTCTATAAAAAGGAAGGATTATATTTGAATCCATTCAAGTGTTAAGTTAGAAACTCTCACTTTTCCATCACAAAGGAAGAGTCACTTAGCAGTCCACATTAGGATGAAGCCTTTCTGGACACGTGCGAAGTGCTCAAATGCGCCGAGCTAGTGCTAAAATAAAGCTAGCGCTACAAACGTTTTTTTTGACTAGCCACCAAACAAACTTGCTGTACCACGTTTGATGGTATTACACTGGAGCAAACACTGTGAAAGTCAGCTAAGCTAAGTTAGCTTGTTAGCTTGAGTTCTCCACCCTCTTGACTCACGGTGTTGGGATACACTGTGCTCCAAAGTATAGCGTTTACCTGAAGTAACGTTATGCTAAAATCTCCGCAATCATTTCGCGGCTTTCTACGTTGTGAGACCTGTTGTCAGGACGAGGGAGCATGTCCGTTTCTAATTCGCGCAGCGAGAACACTTAAGGTGCTGAGGAGGCCGTGATACCTTAACCTCAATTCCTCGTTCCCAAGCGTTGTTCGACTTCACACACCATCGAGTTCTTTCATGAACATGAGAGGTGAGATTTAGGCTTTGTGTGGGTAATATCTGTAGCTGAGTCCTTAGCCAGTAGATTTCAATCTCAGCCTGTCCCATTACTTTGTGTTTTTTCCTGTGTATGCATATGTATTTTTCTGCCTTGATTATGAAGAAATATATCTATTTTTTGTAATTGTTCTTCTCGGATGTGCCATAAATCATGTTTTCTTGCACACTGTTAATATTTTGTGGATATTGCTGTTTAAAAATGATGATATCGGAAAAAGTAGATGAAATAAAATAAAGACAAAATGATACTCTGCATTGATGCCGATCTGTTTATTATAGCTATGTGCTTGACTGAGCTGTTGTAAGCAAGTGGAAATGTCACACGAACATCTGACCCACCTATTTTTATTTTATTTCATTTTATTATTTTTTTATTATTTTATATTATTTTATTATTTTATTTTATGTGTGAACTCTGGGCATTTTGAAGGCCCTTGTGCATAAATGTTGAAGCGTGCAAATTCTACATGACTAAATTACTTGCAAAAGTAATGATTGTTTTCAAATAGGTCAATAAAATCAATAAAATATCAGAAATAAAGTACAAAAAAATATTACGTGTGTGTACGCACACACACACACACACACACACACACACATATATATATATATATACAGTAGTCAACATTTGAAGTGGATCAAAAAGTTTATCAAAGTTGTCCTAAGACAAGAGCACATTTTGTTTGAGGTTTTAGGACAACTTTGATTAAAGGTTTTGATCCACTTCTGATTTGTTTTTCTGCACAATAATGGTTTAAGTATTAGATTACTGCAATATGAACATTGTTTACAAATATTTGAATAATATGAATAATTATAATTAGTGCTGTCAAACGATTAATCACAATTAATCGCATACAAGTTTTTGTTTGCATGATATATATGTCCGTTCTGTGTATATTTATTATGTATACATAAATACACATACATACAGTATATATTTTGAAAATATTTACGTCTATATTTATGTTCATATAATTTATATTATAAATAAATATATTTAATATATAAACAACCTATTTTTCTGAAATATATGCATGCATGTGTGTGTATTTATATATAC